ATACCGTATATGCCAATATACCGCATATACTAATATACCGTATGTGCCAATATACCGTATATAACAATATACCGCATATACCAATATACCGTATATGCCAATATACCGTATATGCCAATATACCGCATGTACCAATATACCGTATATGCCAATATACCATATATGCCAATATACCGCATATACCGTATATGCCAATATACCATATATGCCAATATACCGCATATACCGTATATGCCAATATACCGCATATACCGTATATGCCAATATACCGTATATACCAATATACCGTATATGCCAATATACCGTATATACCAATATACCGTATATGCCAATATACCGTATATGCCAATATACCGTATACACCAATATACCGCATGTACCAATATACCGTATATGCCAATATGCCATATATACCAATATACCGCATATACCGTATATGCCAATATACCGTATATGCCAATATACCGCATGTACCAATATACCGTATATGCCAATATACCATATATGCCAATATACCGCATATATCGTATATGCCAATATATCGCATATAACAATATCCAGTATATGGCAATATAACACATGTACCAATATACCATATATACCACTATACCGTGTATACTCGCGTACAAGCCTACTTCCCCCTGCACACCTACAAATCTACCATTCGTACATGCTTGGGCTACTGCTGTTATATATGGTCTAGTGCCTCGCTGTTCATCTTGAGGTACTCGACAAAATCCAAAGACGGATAGTGAATTTAGTCGGTCCTGACTTGGGATCTCGACTCTAGTCACTTTCTCATCGACGTAATGTGGCTTCCCTCTGTCTTTTCTATAAATATTTTCATGACATTTGCTATGACGAGCTATTTTCCATGGTTCTCCGTCTGCATGAATTTATGCGTGCTACTAGGTTGGCATCTCGGTCCCACCCTTTTACCGTCGAAACAGTTAAATGTAACCGCCTCTTCTGCTCCAACAGCTTCTTCACTCGCAAATCCCGACAGTGGAACGCCCTTCCTCTCACTTTCTTCCCTGATAACTATAATCTTCAGAAATTCAAATGTAATGTCAATCGACATCTTCTGTTGCCTTGATCTCCGTTCTTCTTTTTATCCCACCCTTATCCAGACTTTTTTCCCTTACTTGCACTCTCTGTAACCCTTTGCGTACTAGTGGCACTCCCGCCTTCCTTGGGGTGAATTGCTTTAAAAAAATAGCGTGACCCCTGGTTTATATGTGAAAAATCTGATTTTTTCATATAGATCTTGTATAATGCGCCCCTAGCTTCCTAGAAATATTAGTAGGCCTAACGTAGTCAAATATTACAGTGCTGGGCATCATCCTGGACCCATTTTATAGCAATGAAATGAATTTCCTTCTTTTTTATACGAAGTGCTGAGAAAAACCTCTTACCGCAAAATATCTCATACAACAGAAAGACTGTAGGTTACAGGAGGCAGGTTAAACGAGATTACCTGTACCTTTAAGATTAGCCAAAGATACCGTCAGTATGTAGCCCTCCAGCTAGGTTACCGTCATCAAAAATATAGGATATTTAAATTCTTCAAAAAATTACCTGTGTATACTGATACTCCCTATTTTTTCATTTTTACAATGCCCAAGATCCACTCGAGGTAGAGAGTTACAGAGCAAGAGGTACCACCCCCACGCAAGGTGATAAAGCCACCAAGATGCAAGGGGAGTGAAAGAGAAGGAAAAGACGTCAGAAGGACTTCAGCAGAAACCGGAAATCCCATTCTCAACCGGACGATAGAAAAAAATCTATCTACTTCGGTAGCTTAATTATTTCGAATGAGTATTCGCAAATAAGTTGTTATAATTGTTCTTACAGAAACAACGTTTCGGCCAAGTACGCGCGGGACATCATCCGGTGTCCATTGTGCGGATGAGTTGTACTTGGAGAAATTGACACACAGATGATATACTGAAGGTAAAATGGACAGAGCGGAGATAGCGGGACACGAATCTGTCCAGCTTGTATGAATGGATAGCAAAATAGGGGACGAAGCAAGTAAAACAAACGTTACAAAGAGCAATAAGGATATGAAAGTGTGGAGGGCCATGATCACCCACCTACTGATGGGACAGAGTACAGAGAAAAAGATTGTGTTATTTTGTCTATTTGATACCCGTTACTATTCGTTCCTGCTAAACCAGTGTGTCACTGTCTGATCAAAAGATTGAACTCAATACCATTAGAAGAGAAATTGTCAATATACATTGTTTATTATATCCGTGTTTCATTCATAATTACAATTTGGGTGCTAAATACGGGATCTAATCAAAAAGTATCGGAACTTGTGCTATAAAAAGAAAACTACAATACATATTAATTCGGTATTTAATCTCCTTCGAAGTAATACTCTTCTGAAGCCACACACTTTATTTACCGTCACCTCCATTGATGGAAGCATTCCTGGAACTCCTTTTTGGATTTAGCAATAAGCTGCCTCGTTGCAATCTCTTCGATTTCCACGGCGTCTTGAAATCTTGTTACTTTCAAGTGGGATTTGATTTTTAAACAGATGAAAAAGTTTCTAAGCGTGAGGTTTGGAGAATATGTTGATTGTCGGACCTTGCGAATATTGTGCTTAGTCAAAAACAGCTACACAAGCCATGGTCACTGAGATAAACTCTGTGATGTGGTGAGACGATCACACGCTACACACTTTCCTTCCAAGCACTGCTATAGACAACGGATTTAAGCTAGATACTTATAACTTAGTGTATATGTGCAACAGCTTTCAAGGTCTGTTTGTGCCAAGCGACTTTATTCTGCATACATTAGCTCCGTTACCATAGCAACAGTTTCGACACATTTTGATCAGACTTCGTATAATTAATTTGATATATATACAGGGTGACCATAAAGTTTGTAGGCAGTTTAAAAAATTATAACTTTATTTGTATTTGCAATAGAAATAATCGTTAAAAAATGTTATAAAGCTTAATATACCTAGTTTTAAGTATAGCTAAAATAACTAACGTCATTCCAGGCATTACTGTAAATCAGTTGGCAAATGTTTTCCGTGAACTGCAAAATCGTATTACCCTTTGTATTGCTAATGATGGAGGACATGTGGAAACTTAAATAAAATTTCAATAAAACCTTAAAAAAATATAGATTTACTTCTTTCTAATTCTTTTTACAAATTATTTTTATCGAAAATACAAATAAAGTTATAAATTTTTTAAAGTGCACACGAAATTATGGACACCATGTATATAGTTTTTATTTTCTTATTCGAAAAATTGACAATTGTTTTTTACCTTTTATTCTTTATCCTTTTTATGAAATTTCAAAATGGCCATTTTTTATTTCAGAATTGTTGTCTACCCGGGGCTTCACTGGAAGAGAAAGTATACTGGGATCTTTGGTTGGCTGAACTGTGACATCTATTGCTGCTATCCAAAAATGGTTTAGAACAGATTACCATAAAGCAGCACCACTCAGGAATTTCATATTCAAATAGAGTAAAAAGTTTCAAGAGACAGGTTATGTCAATGAAAATCCAGCGGGCCAAATGTAAGTGAAAAAATGTGATATCCGTAGAACAACATAGCAATAAAATATTGTTGTGCTTGATTAGTTTCTTTAATTTTTTTTATCCTTTCAGTAATTCAAATTGATTCTTCAACGATGCCTCCAGCTTTCAAAATCTGACGTTTAAAACAACCATATTATATTCCAGCCTAAATGAAACGCTATATTTTTTTAAATCGGTATCGCCCCAAGTAAGGCAGTAATGCCATTAAAAACAAAACTGGTTATAAGGTGTGGAAGAATTAGGAACAGAAGCATTTTCAAGAAACAGGTTATGTCAATGAAAATCCACGTTCTGGAAGGCCAAGTGTAAGTGAAAAAATGTGACATCCGTAGCAATAAAATTTTAAAGATTATTGTTTTTCTTATTTTTTTCCTGATTATTTCTATCATGCAAAGCTACAATGCTATGGATATTTAAAAGTGCACACGGATTTTACAAACTCCTTGGTTTCTGATTATTTTAAACAGTTATTCTCACATTAGTTATCATCGATTTTAGATTTGTTATAGATATATCGCAGACATTATCTCCCCGGTGTATTAGAAATGGTCAAGACAAAGGTTAAAAAAGTGTTTTTAAGAGACCCAGTTTCATGATATGTTTCAATTGAGTTCTAACGCTTCTCAAACTTAATAAACGACTTGTCTTATCATTCCGTAGTAGCAAATGGATACCACCTCCCCTATTAGACAATGAGTTCCACCCTTATATCGGTAGTAAAAACAGGGAATCAAGTATTTTACTTTTTTTTAATTGGTACCACCCCAAGCAAGACAGTAATGGCGCTAATACACAAGGGGTTATAGAGTGTATAAGAATTAGGAACAGAAGCAATAATGATGAGCAGAAGAAGAAGAGAGAGTAACCAGGAGGACAGTAGTAAGGCGTTCGTTAAAGAAACAATTCAATGACGTGTTCTGTATGGAGGGCAACAGATTCAAATCAACGACATTACGTAGCATTTTGTCTTTGTTGCAGAAACAAATAAATATCCCCTAATTCTAGCTAAATCAACCATCTTCGTCCCCTGAAAGTAAAAAAGAAAACAAAAGAATGCTTTTTTTTGTGATGTTTTTGCATCCGGAGTTTTCGTAAAACACACAGATGTCAGGTGGTATCGTTACTAAACGCAAGTTGACATTCGGTGCACACAATAGCCGAATATATTAGATTATGGCATAGAGTTTGCTCGGAACAATGTCCACACAGCTGGTGTATGGCAAGACATGGCAATGAAAGTATACGGATTTAAGAAAAGGGGTAGTTACAACGAGATAGAGAGAGAGCAGATCATGTCGGCCGGTTGTTAGCTAGTCATCTCGTCGATACAGCTCCGTATGCTGTGTATGTGTGTGCGTGCGTTTGTCTGTGTCTCTATGTGTATATGTGTGTGTGTGTGTGTGCGTGTGTACGATAGAGAGTCAGAGAGTCAGAGACAAAGAAAGAGAGATAGAAAGAAAAGTAGAGAAGGCAGTAAAAAGAAACAGGAGAAGAGAAAAAGAGACAAAGAATGAAAGAGTGAGAGAGGGGAGAAAGAGGAAAAAACATAAAGAGAATTTTCTAGAAACAAAGAGGTATAAAAAGAAAGAAAGAAAGAAAGAAAGAAAGAAAGAAAGAAAGAAAGAAAGAAATAGAAAGAAAGAAGGAAGGATGGACGGAAGAAAGGAAAGAGCCCCGGAGTTAATGCAAGAGAGAGAATTGATTTGAGAACGAGATAAAAAAAAGACAGATAATAAGACAAAAAAGATACATAAAAAATGGAGAGACAGAGATGAAACATTTTGAGAAAGGGAAAGAGAGAAACAGAAAGAGAATGAAACAAAGAGAAAAATTGAAAAGGAGTTAGAGAAATAGAGACTGCAGCGACGAAAGAGACAGAGCAAAAATGACAGACAGATAGATAGATAGATAGATAGATAGATAGATAGATAGATAGATAGATAGATATATAGATAGATAGATATTGAAGTAGATAGATAGGAATATATTTAATTAGAACAGATAGATAGATAGATAGATAGATAGATAGATAGATAGATAGATAGAAACTAAAATGAGATAGATAGATAGATAGATAGATAGATAGAAACTAAAATGAGATAGATAGATAGATAGATAGATAGATAGATAGATAGATAGATAGAAACTAAAATAGATAGATAGATAGATAGATAGATAGATAGATAGATAGATAGGAATATATTTAAGCAGAACAGATATCTATCTATCTATCTGTCGATCGATCGATAGATAGATAGATAGATAGATAGATAGATAGATAGATTGTGCTTTTACGAGAGCAAAAGATGCTTCAAACAAGAGGGAGAGATTCAAAGACAGATAAAACAGGGCAGAGGATGAGGAATAGGAGAGAACGCGATAGAGAGAGAGAGAGAGAGAGAGAGAGAGTGAAAGAGAAAGAAACAGAAGCCAAATAAATATGGGGAGCATGATGCAGAATCAGATAGAGACAATAAGTGAGAAATATGCACACACACATACACACACTCACACACACACACACACACACATATATATATATATATATATATATATATATATATATATATATATATATATATATGCAGAAACACACACAAACAAACAAACACACACACACACAAGCATATATATATATATATGTGTGTGTGTGTGTGTGTGTGTGTGTGTGTGTGGAGTGAGAGAGAGGGAGAGAGAGAGCGAAAGAGCGAGTAGGAGAACGTGAGGCAAAGCAGACAGAGTTTAGGTTAGAGATAGGCAGAAAAAGATTGGGAAGAGTCAAATAGAGAGACAGTGAGTCGGAGAGAGAGAGAGAGAGAGAGAGAGAGAGAGATAAATATTCATAAAAGGCGACAGGGACATAGAGGGTGATAGATAAAGAATGCTAGGTAATGAAAGAGGCAGACTAGGGCTAAGAAGAGTCAGAGATAGAAAAAGTAAAAGAGACGAGAGAGAAAAGAAAAATGAGAGAGAAAGGCAAGAAAATAGAAAAACGAAAATGAACAGACAGAAAGGCCAAAGAAAGAAAGACGAAAGGAAAAAAAGGAAAAGAGTGAAGGGAAAAACGGAAAAGAGAGAAGAAGAAAGAGAAAAAAGATAGGCAAATGAGGGAAAAGCCTAAGGGGAAAGAGATAAGGTGAAAAAGTAGGCAGAGAGAAATAGAAAAGAAAGAAGACAGAAGGAGAAAAGAGGTGGTCAAAAGATAAAAAAAAAAACGAAAGAGAAAAGAGATAAAGTGAAAAGATAGTGAGAAGAAAGAAAGTGAAAAGAAAGAAGAGAGAAGTTGAAAAGAAGAGAGAAAGAAGGTATGAGTAAAGACAGTAGAGAGAAAGGGAAACGAGAGAAAGACAAATGAAGGTAAAGAGATACGTAAGCGGGAGAGGAAAGAGAAATCCTAAAGAGAGCTACTTTGCATTTTCGTACACAGGGTATTTATCTTCCATTTTCTTCTGCTCATCTCAAATAATTGTCATTGTAGTGTGTTACGAAATTGAAGAAGACAAGAGCCGGCTACGAGGGATCGAATGAAGCGAGAAAGAGTGTTGAATACCTTAACATAAAGGTACTCAACACTCAAGGTAAGGCGAAAGATTGAAGGAAAAACTGTTTATTATTTTTCAGTAGCCTTATTTAACCTTATTTTTATATTAAATTTTGATAAGAATGTGTGATAATAACGAAAAACACCAATAAAATAATAGCAATCTCTATCTATAAAAGGCAGGATGTGTGTGTGTGTGTGTGTGTGTGTGTGTGTGTGTAACGAATGCATGGCCGCAATTTTTGACGGATTTGCACCAAAATTTACATGCACATGCTCCAAGTTAGCGGAAACGCCAAGACCGGCTTTGCATTTCCCAACTCCCATCGATAGTGGAAATAATCGATTTTTTCATGCTTCTACGACAGTTTTCATGTAGTTTGCGGCCATTTTCTGCTGGCCAGAGTGAGAGCCTATAGCTGGCTGCCACGAATAGGCAGGAAGATTCTATTGGCCAGCGTGAGAGCCAACAGCTGACTGACACGAATGTTAACTAGCATGCTAGCATGCAAAAAAATCGATAGCTGCATTCGACACAAGTGGGAAAAATTTAAATCTGCATGACACTTTACTCCAATTGACTCATTCACTTGCTTAAACTCAACGTTGATTCTGATTCCGCAGAACTGGGTTGGGTGTGAAAAAGTATTTGTTGTTAACATTCTTTTTTCATTCGGTTTTTCCAGTTACGAGTCCTTTTTTAAAGCTGATCGTTTTGTGTTCATTTTGTTTAGTTCTTTTTTCGTAACAGATTTTAATGCTTAGAAAAAATTCGCAATGTGAGATAGGCAAGAAGTAAGGCATGTAGCAACACCAGCACGGCAAAGGGCACTCCTTTAAAGGCAAGGAAGTGAAAAAATATTTTAAGTCATGTGATAGCGATTGCTGTATGAGTCGTACGATTTTTGAATCAAGCACGGGCAACACCGGGCTATGCTGCTAGTATGAAATATTGCTGGCATATATGGTCTAGAGCTCCTTCTGTTTGTCTCGGGGTTCTTGATAAGATCCAAAGACGGATATGCAATATAATTGGCCCCGATCTGGCATCTCGTCTACAGTCGCTCTCTCACAGACGTGCCGCCGCCCCCCTCTGTCTATTTTTACAAATACTTTCATGGTAATTGCTCCGAGCTGCTGCATTTGTTGGTTCCCAGACTTCATGAATTCAAGCGCCCTACGAGGCTAGCATCCCGCTCTCATCCTTTCACTGTTGAAACTTGTTAAATGTAGCCGTCTCTTCTACTCCAATAGCTTCATGTCTCGCACCTCTCGACTGTGGAACTCCCTTCCCTGTTCCTGTTTCCCCGATAGCTATAATCTTCAACTATTCAAATGTAATGTCAATCGACATCTCCAGTTACCTTGATCTATCCACTATCCTTCTCCTCATCCTTTCCTCTGTCACTGCTATCTGTTCTCGCTCCAAATCCTCTGTAACCCCTTGCGTGCTAGTGGCTTTCCGCCTTGCTTGGGGTGAAATGCTTAAAAAAAAAAAAAAAAAAAAAAACCGCTACAATAAGATAGAATAAAAACTGATAGGAAAATCATATTAATAATGAAGCCTGTATTAAACCAGAATGTTCAAATAAAAAGTAACAATAATAAGATGGTATCAAACTAATAATAAAATCATATTAATAATGAAGCCTGTATTAAACCAGAATAAAAAGTAATAAAATGGAATAAAACTAGCAAAACTATTATGGCAATAACAAAACGTAACAATATCACGAGAGAATAAATCACATAATTCAATGACTGTAATAATGTACAGTATATTGTCCCAGGGTGTTTGAATAGAAATTATCAATAATGAAATGAAAATAAACTTCTAAAAATATATTTATAATGAAAATATTTTACTTATATAGTTTAATTAATGTCATTTCCTGTCTATTAGCTTTTCTGATTATATTATTCGTGTCTATAAAAGGTTGTTATAAACAACTTAAAAGATTACTTAACTGTTATGTAATATTGGTCCTCTGATGTGGCAGTGAATGACTCAACAACTAAGTTCTAGAGAAAATGGAAATGAAAAAAAAGCATTTATATTCAACATTAGAAGTTGATGAGACCTAGTTGCCAATCTAGTACTCTCCTTAAATTTCTAAAGTCTATGTACTAAAGAGGAAATACAGAACAATTACTATAAAAACATTTATAGAAAATCCACATGGAAACTACGTCACGTTTGTAGGAAAATTCAGACATAAGTCAGTCAGTTATGTACCATGCGTGATACACCCTTAGGCGATCATGTATCTTTCGATACATGACTGACGAAACAGATTTGTTCCCGCAGTAGGTTGCCATTTCTTTCTGCGGTAGACCAGTTGCCATCAAGGCTATAAAACACAGTCTGTCCTGCTATTTACCCATAGTTTCATGAGTGTATTAGCACGTAAGTGAATGTAATGGTTATGACTGGAATTCGAACTCGGCTCTCTGATTCCTCAATCCGAGTCGTTATCCATTACACCACCATAAGTAAGCAGAAAATGTCAGAGTAAAGAAAACGTGAGATAAGTCTAATATTGGCTTCTAAATATGACTTTTAAAGAAGCAGATATGAAGTAAATAATAAATAAAAATATTTAAATTTTTATACAGTTCTATCACTTTTTGGCAGGCAACATTAGTTAGGATTTTATTTCCTGTAACGTTCGTAGTAACCATCGTAGTCATCTGAAATTCTGCATTATTCTAAATTAGTTGAGTGGTGCTGAAGAAAATTGCGGCAATATCTTAATAAGTTAAAATAGAATTAAGAACAAACTACCGAATTTTCTTAACCTTAATTTGTTTACGAAAATTCGGTATTAATATCTTAGTAAAGGTATGAGAAATCTTATATCAACGTATTTTTCTCTAAGGTACTCAAGTAGTTATATAACTCTCCTATATCTGATATCTTTCGATAAACTTTGTTCATCTGAAAGATTTTGAATACTTGTGGTCGATTTCTTCACAATCGGGTTTTAAAAAGCAAAATAAATGAAAACTGATGCCTATTCATGCCTTGGGTTTATTTTAAATGGCAAATTGTAAAGATTTAAAGCAGTTGAACCAGTTTTAGGCAGCAGGAGAAAAATATTTTTCTTTACATTTTTTGAATTTTACAAACAGCTTTTGTGAATCCTGTGATCAGCTGTTGGCATAAGAGATAAGGGAATTGAACATAGAATAAGCTGTCACTTCCGACTAACTTTTCCTTTATTCATAACAGATATATTATTCATCATGGCAATTTTCAGTAACCCTCTAGTAAAGTGGCTCTTGAGACTTTGTGAACTTTAGTATGAAAAAGGAAAATGTCATTCGTTCGCATGTCCTAAGTTGTCTAGTGTCGAGTAATGGTTTTTCGTCTATGTACATTGTACCTTGAAGATATTGACGAATATGGCTCTCCACAATTTCCTGTCATTTGTAACTCCGAGTAAATTTTGCCATTTTGTTATCTCTCCTAAACCCTGTTCTGCCATTCATTTTCACAAGTTCATTTGGTATATTATTAGCTGTTTTACTTTGCCCCAGTTGCCTTCATTATGTCGTGTGAGTGTCAAATTTTCCAAGCCCTCTTTCCTCATTATTTCTTAGATGATTTCAGCTGTCTCTTCCTGATGTTAAATATAGGTGTCCGTTTGGTTTCCACTTTTGTCTAAACCGTCGTCGTTGCACACTTATTCAGTCCATGTTATTCCCAGCATCCTTCTGTACATCTTGTTGCCTGAAATCTCTTCTTCATCTGTGAGGAGATTGTCCAGCATTCACTGCCTTATAGGAGGACTGATGTTACATAACATTTCAGTACTCTTTGTTTCTGTTGCATCAAGTTTCTTCTTCATCTGTGAGGAGATTGTCCAGCATTCACTGCCATAGAGGAGGACTGATATTATGTAAAAAATAAAAAGGACGCTAATATTCAGGGTAAAAAAAAAAGAAAGCTGAAATTTCTGGAACCCATAATGAGGAAAGAAGGCTTGGAAAACTTGACACCCACAGAACACCTTTTTCTATGTGCAGTACCCCTTTAAGACGTCGGCTATCATAGCTTTCCACTATCTCCTTTGTTTTCCTTAGTAAAATTTGTCTTTTCGCTATATCACCAAATCCTTATTCTGCCTACTATTTACACAAGGTTTGTTATTTGCTGATTTCCTCTGTCCCTCTTGACACGAGTATGTACTATGAGTGTCAAATTTTCCAAGCCCTCTTTCTTCATTATGTTCATTAGAAATTTCATCTGTCTCTTACTGATGTTAAGTATAAGGGCCATTTTTTTATTTCCATTTTCTCTAAACCGTCGGCGCACACATGGTCGGTCCATGGTCTTCTCAGCATTCTTCTGTGTGGAGATGGTCCAAAATTTGCTGTCAGATCGATTCTTACTGGGTACTCCAAACAAAATTCGGATGTAACTTACCCAGCAAGAGATGACATGTAAAATCCACCAACTTCAATTCTGCCTTTTGTTTCCTTCATTATTTCTATATGTTTTTTTTTTTTTTATCATTGCATCTCTATTTCACTCCTGTCGTGGGTATGACGATAAACTACATCCAACGGCAAAGTCTCTGATCAGGAGGTTTTGAGGAGCGTGGAACCACCGCTTAATTGCTGGTATTCCCAGGCCCACCCTGAGCCGGTATGGTAGCACCTGTTAGGGTCTCAGCTATGGGTAAATAGTTAACCCTCAAACTGGGGTCAAAACACTATGAAAGTGTAAAAATAGGATTTAATAACAGAAATACTTTGTAAAAAATTATCACCAGTAATAAATTTTTGAAGAAAAATTACCAGCAATAGATTTTTGAAAAAAAATGTTACCAGCAATTCTTTTTGAAAAAAAAAAATTACCAGTAATAAAAGTCTTGTCGGCATTAAATAACTCATTCAGGTTAATGTGCCGTAAAACAAACCAAACCAAAGCTATTTTACTCTTTACTTTTCGTACCCACTTTCGCATTTTTTTCGTTTATTCATGTCAACCTTTTCGAACTTCCTTCGCCTCTTCACTTTTCTCCCTGTTTTTTCTTTTTTCCTTCTGATGTAACGAATATGCATACAACTAGGTTCCCCCTTACAGTAATATGATTGGCTGATGTCAGCCATAAATACAGACTGATGTGGCGGTACATGAACGCCTATTGCCTACCACTACGACGAGGACCAGTCCATTACGGTTAACTGATAGATTGTCCTACCCGGTTACAGTAGTCCAAAACCACTTTGCTACTTCGAACAAATATATCCCTTTCCGGGACATATCACCTTCGCTCATTTTCTTTCGTTTCTTTTGTCATTCAATAGTTACTTTAATCTATATCATGCTACAAAACGAAGACTTAATTCCCATCAAAGCCATTGGACCGTTTCCTTTGTCCACGTATCCAGTCTTCACTAAAATTCTGGCACAATTTTTCTGTTTTCGTCATTACTGTCAATAAATCGAAAATAAAGGGCGAACGGAAATTATAAAAGCCCAACTTAACAAACCGCAAATCAAAACTTTCAGGAACAAGAGGAAAGCGAAAGAGAAAGTTCATTTTGATTTTAGATATGCAGAATAACATTTACTGGGTGAAGTGTGAACTGTGACAGAAGGCCGAAATCATGCAATGAAATCATCGGACCAATCAGGATGGATGTCTAGGGTGGTGCATACACGAATCAAAAAAGACAACGCTTGTAAAGAGGACAATAGGATGAATTCTACTAATTAGGGAACCAAATGCCGCACAATTTTTTTTAGGGTTCTTTATAATCTTTTCCCCCCTCTCGTACTAGTGTTGCATACATTCTTACTTTTAACCCTGTATCTAATTTCTGTCTTTTTTAGATATTTTGCGCCCACATTTACGACCCTCGATTTGAATACACTCCTACTTCCAGCCCCGTATCCGTCTCGAGCCCTTCATCCTTTCTGCGTCTTTATCTTTTTCTATTCCTCTTTTCTGTTCTTTTCCCCGTCCTTTCATTTTCTGTCTTTTTTTTTTTTCATCTTTTTCCTCTTTGATTTCATTTTTCTTTGTCAGTCTCTTCTTTTACTTCATCCTAACGAGGTTTGCAGCATCTTCTTCGTTCTATTCACGTTTGCATGCCCTCCTTCCTTCTCTTCATGCTATTCACGTTTGTATCATCTTCTTCTTTCCCTTCTTACTTTTTTTTTCGTTTTTCATCCTCTTTATCTTTAACTTCTTTTCTTTACACCCTTCTCTTATTTTGTCGTCCATTTTGTTTTTCAGCTGCATCCTATTCATTTTTCGAAACTTTTATTTTTCGTACTTGTTTCACATTTTTTTCTTTTTTTCCTGTACAGCCTCGTCTTCGTTCTTTCTTCTTCTTCTTCTTCTTCTTCTTCTTCTTCTTCTTCTTCTTTGTTCTAATTTTTCTATTTTGCAACCTCTTTTTTTAATCACCTTCTTTTCACTCCTGAATCCTTTTCTACCTCTTCTTTTTTTAACTTTTTCTTGTCTTTTTCTCTTGCATCGTCTTCACTATCTCTTTTTTTCCTTTCCTTCTTCTTTTCCTTTTTTTCTGCTGCATACTCTTCTTTTACTTCTTATTTTTTCCATTTGTGTCCTCTTTTTATTTTCATTTTCTGGCCTCTTCTGTCTTTTCTTCTTCTTCCTTCTCTCTTGTATTCCCCCCGTTTTACCCTCCCACTATTCACCTTCATTTCTTTTTCTTTTTTTGTGTCCCTCCTCCACATTTCTTTTTCTTTCTCGGAAACCTCTCTAGTTTGTATCTATCTACAGCGCCTTTCCTTTTGTAACTTTTACTCACCATTAAAGCCAAGAGAGGCAAAGGAAAACAGAGAATTTCTGTAAATGGATTCACAGAACAGAGAGGAACAAATGTTAGTAAAAGGACAAAAACTGCAAAGTGCAACGAAGGATAGGAAGTTGTGGAAAGTCATGATCCCCAAAGTCCTGTTGAGTCATTATATATATATGCATACAGTAGATATGTCTAAGAAAAAGAGTCATTATATATATATGCATACAGTTAATAATCAGTAGGTATATAATGAAGGTGAATTGTACTAATATAAAATATTAAAACTGATTGACAAAGAGAAGAGAGCATTTATTATAACAGAGAATATATTTTATTTTTAACCTCTTGATGTTGACAACTCCCACAAGTAAGCTCTTGTTAGGGTGAAATAGCTATTCAAATGGGGTAATTTTGAATTTCTATTCTATGTAATTTCTTTCTCTCTCTCTCTCCCTCTCTCTCTCTATCTCTCTCTTTCTCTCTCTCTCTCTCTCTCTCTCTCTATATATATATATATATATATATATATATATTGAATTTATAGGTCTGGTGAATTGGATCGTGATTACAATTCCAATGTAATAAATTATAAACATGGAATATCAGTGTTTAAGTCTTTTTATTATATTCTTACTCTGTCCTGGACATTGAGCTCTACCTGGATTTTGTCCTCTTGGGAATTTATCTATATATATATATATATATATATATACAGTAGCGTCCAAAACTAAGGGACAAAATTTTAAAACAACTGGTAGTCGTTATCATCCATAATAACATACTAAAATTTGAATCATTTGCAAAGGATAGAAAAAGAATTATAACAATTATTTATTTATTTTCAAATTTGGAACGGATGATAACGACTACTAGTTGTCAAAATTTCAGATTTCACAGTTGTTATTTCTAACAAATATTAGATTTTAAAATTTTTTCCCTTAGTTTTGGACGCTACTGTATATATATATATATATATATATATATATATATATATATATATATATATATATTGACCTTGACCACTAATATTATATATATATATATATATATATATATATATATATATATATATATATATATATATATTCGGTGCACCAGGTCTCTGTATTCGTCCCTTCAAAACGTGTGGATGGTCCTGCACGAAGCCTTCACCACTATAATCAAATCTCATGTGCCCGGTGTCGGGCTGTCAGTTTCCTTGAAACTGATCTACTTGACCCTCTTACGCCGAATCTCGACAGGAGAGTCGATTATATATATATATATATATATATATATATATATATATATATATATATATATATATATATATTCTGATAAAGTCTTTTTCTTAGACATATCTACTTTTAATAATTGAAAAAGCGAATTATTGTCACATCAATTAATAGAATGAATTGTAAATGAAAAAAGATTATTTATGGAGAAAATTCAGTTTTATCAAACGCCATTTCTGCATAAGTATTCTGGATTATTTAAACAAATTCACTATTTTTATGCTACCGATAAAATAGCTCTTTTTCTTTACCTTTTCAACCCAAGCAAGGCAATAAAGCCACGAAGACGCAAAGGGGGGTTACTGATCGTGAGAGAATATACGAAAAAGAAAACATTAAGGAGAGAGACCAATAAAAGAATTAAGAAGACAGAAGATTACGATTGACATTGCATTTACCTTTCAAAGTTGACTCGGAAGCAAGAAGCCGGAAGAGATTTCTACAAGCGATAAGTGCGACAGAAGAAACTTTCATCATAGAACTTACGGTTATATTTAACCATTTCAATTGAAAATTAACGATACATTACAGCCAATCTAGTACTGTGCAGAAATTCCTAAAATCTAAGTACCATAAAGGAAAGTAATATTTATTTTGCAAATACGAAAGGTAGGATAGGAAAAGGCTTCAGTCTCTTTTATCGTAAACTTAGCTAGCCATGATTACTGACTGAAACATTCCATAGTATTACTTACACCAAAACACCATTCTTACTTACCATTCTTACTACTGTAATCATAATACCTCAAAGGCTTTTTAACTAGTTCCCATATGTACAGTTTGTCGGCTGGTGGGGATAAAAACAAATATATTTAAAAAATGAAATCCCAATAGAGGAAAATTCATCAGAATAATTGCCATGAAACTATTTATAGAAAAGAGGAATCTAAGTTATGGCGGTGGGAAAGTGACTGAAGCAAAGATGTCAGGCCAGAACCAATAACATTGCAGATTCTTCTCTGTGTATATTATATATTTTCAAGGAAACTCTTATGATGACCTTTCCACTTGGATGCCTTCAGCACTGCATGAATTTAATCTAGTTTGGCAGATAGGTCTCACCGTTTTACTTTTGAACTAGCTAGATGTAAGCCTATGATCTATTCTAATACTTTCTTTTCTCGCACACACACACACAAGCACAAACACACTCACACACAAACTATTTAGAAAAAAAAAAAAAAAGCATAAAATATTTGACAATATAACACAATCAGCAAACCAGCCAGTCATTTTTATTGCTTAAATCAAGAAAGCGAGGAAGAGAAAAGAAGAAAAAAAACCTAAATCTAAACCTTAATCTCCTGAATTGAAACCATAATCTCCTTTGGAGTAAATTATTATCTTTATTTACACCCTTGTGAAAATTAATTTAAACAACCGTTTTAGTTTCCTTTGCACAAGGGTGTAAATAAACATAATAATTTACCATTTATCCGAAATAAAGCATGGAATCTATCGGATACGCAAATCCTCACCGAACCGAATAGATAAAGTTTAAAGTAGATGCAGTTTACTTTGACGATGAAAAAGATTTTACACCCTTGTGCAAATTAATTTAAACAAAACGAATAATTATATAACTTTTTTCGTATTTTTTCAATGAAACATGACCCAGTGCACATGTTAGTACTTCGTATGTCTATTCCACGAAGTCATTCCTTGCAGATTGACCACAGATTCTTGATTGGATTTAAATTCAATTTTAGGGGTGCGTATTATGGATGAAGGCATATTATACATGGGGATTTACGGTTAGAACTAAACGATATATAACCTAGACATGGTTAGAGGAATGAGAACAAATTAGATTAAATGAAGCACGCGATGAAGGGCGGAGAGTGCAACGGCTGAAATTTTGTGATGATAACAATTAATATGCGGACAACGGTTCCTTTCGTATCTGTCTATATCTCTGAGATGAGGTATTATGATTAATTGCATTATTTACATTGTCAGCACTGTTATCCTAATGCGTCCTCAAGGACAAATGGCACAGTGGAAAAAGACGTTAGTTAGATCCAGTGACTAGATCCAAAGAGTTGTGAGTTCAGTACCAGACCACAGCAGTGGTGAACCAAAACCTTGGAGAGTTGAATTAAAGGGAAATAACTGAGACATCCGGAAGAGAAGAGGCATGGCATGTGGATCTAGAACAATGTACCCCGGTGGACGAAATAAAGGATTCGGTTCGAAATTCCAATCACTTGAAGAAGGCCGGAGCGTATAACGGCCAAAACACCGTGAATATTGCAATGAAGAAAAGTCCGAATAATGTAAATAATGCAATTCATTTCGTTTTCTTAGTTTTTCGACATGGAATTTTGGTCTTATTTTAACTTATTGGTACCGGTAAATAGTTTTTTTTTTTTTTTTTTTTTTTTTTTTAACTAGATCAAAGTACATTGTTTTAATTTAAAAAGTAAAATCAGTGATGGCCCTGATGTACTTCTGCGTAAGAACGTTAACATATGCCCAAAATTTCTCTCCGCCTCGGGACAATTTTTTTATGGATGCAGGCGATAAGAAACTAGCCGACAATCTTTGTTCTTTATTAATATGAATTTAACATTTGGCCTCCGACATAAGGCGACATGAATGTTTTTATCCGCGTTTGTACTTCATTTTGTGTGTCAGCGTGTGTGCGTGTGCGTGTTTATATGTGTTTGCCTGCTTGTGTGAGTGCCTGCGTGTTTAAACGATTAAAAAGAAAGTGTTTTTTTTTTCTTTGTTAATATATTTGTGATTTCTGGCTTTGTCCTTTTGTTATTCTGAACAACTGGATACTTAGTCCAACAGTTAGACTCGCAAGAATAAAAGGCAAGTCGTTCACACATGTCAACTGTGTTGGGTGCTGAGGTTTGCAATGCTCGGCTTTGAAGACGTCAAGAAATAACAAGAGCCATTTTGACCTCCGCCACCGTCGAAAATTTCGTATTTTTTAATTTTTTATTTGAAGTATATATTTTATTGCTTCTCTCTCCACCTCACTTTCATAATGTCTTTATCCCTTCTTTCTTTCTTTCTTTCTTTCTTTCTTTCTTTCTTTCGTTCTTTCTTTCGTTCGTTCTTTTCTTTTTTAATTTCGCTATTAATTTGTTTTACTTTTTTGTTTCTCCTTTCTTTTTGTTTCTTTCTTTTTTCTTTCTTTCTAATTCGGTTATTTACTTGTTTTACTTCTTTCTTTCTTTCTTTCTTTCTTTCTTTCTAATTCGGTTATTTACTTGTTTTAATTTTTCTTTCCACTTTCTGTCAATCTTTTTACATTTTTCTTTCTTTCTTTCTTTCTTCCTTTCTTTCTTTCTTTCTCCTTTCTTTCTTCTTTCTTTCTTTCTTTCTAATTCGGTTATTTACTTGTTTTACTTCTTTCTTTCCACTTTCTGTCAATCTTTTTACATCTTTCTTTCTTTCTTTCTTTCTTTCTTTCTTTCTTTCTTTCTTTTCTTCTTTTTCTTTCTTTCTTTCTTTCTTTCTAATTCGGTTATTTACTTGTTTTACTTCTTTCTTTCCACTTTCTGTCAATCTTTTTACACCTTTCTTTCTTTCTTTCTTTCTTTCTTTCTTTCTTTCTTCCTTTCTTTCTTTCTTTTGCAAGAAATTGTTACTGAATAACCAAATCGGCCTGAAGTCGGTAAACCACTACTAGTGGTGGACTATTTAGACAGTATATTAATTGTCTTCCTTCTT